GTTCAGGTTCAGGAACTGCAGGGCCAGCGGCAAGAGGAGGCCATGAAGGCTGAGAAATGGTTGTTTGAGTGCCGAAACCTGGAGGAGAAGTATGAGTCATTGACCAAGGAGAAGGAGGTGAGGCTGGGTGCCACGGCGCAGGCTGCTCCCTGCATGTGCTGGGGGGCCAGGCCGGCCTCCCATGGCATCCGTGGCGTCCTGTTTCTGCAGCGGCTATTGGCGGAGAGGGACTCGCTGCGGGAGGCCAATGAGGAGCTGCGCTGCGCCCAGCTGCAGCCCAGGGGCTTCACTCAGGCTGGTGAGCTGGAGGCACATGGAGACCAGCCCCTGGGGCCGAACATGATGATCCTTTCAAAGAGAGCCCCTCGGTGCGGGGCCTGGGGGTGCATACAGACCTGAAGACGTCTCTCACATTCTCTAGATTCTTCACTGGACCCTAGACCATCTGGCCTGGAAAACTTGGCTGCTGAGATCCTGCCTGCGGAACTCAGGTATGGAAGTCACTCGGAACTCTGGACTCACCACCCCAGCTGGGGACCCCCCTCCTGCCTCCCCTCCCCTATCCATCCCCTACCTTTTGTTCTCAGTCAGGTATCCACCTACCAGTAGTAGCCTTGGTTCCATGGTGTAGGCCTCAGGGGGTAGCTGGGTGGCAGTTAGGTTCACCCATTCCTAATTCTGCTCATTGTCAATCCACCATCCATCTTCTGTACACAAAGTAGGTCCAGCCCACCTGGCTTCATTCCACGTGCTCTAGTCCTAACCACTTTATTGCTATTGTGTGTGTGTAGTAGTAGGTATTGGGGCTTGAACTCAGGGAATAGGTGCAATTCCTTAGCTTTTCTCTTCAAGCTCCATTTCTGGCTTTTTCCTGGTCCTTTGGAGACAAGAGCTTCACAGAACTTTCCTGCCTGGGCAGGCTTCAGCTAGGATTGTGAGCATGCACCACCAGGGTCTCCCCTTCCTCGAGTCTTTATTTAAGCCCCTTCCGGGATTTGGCCCCAGTGTACATTAGCCTGGTTAACTCCCCCACCCTAATTCTTTTTCTTTTTCTTTTCTTTTTTTTTCTTTTTTATTGTTAAGATACTATACAGAGGGTTACAGTTACATGAGTAAGGTAATGAGTACACTTCCTATTGAGCATTGTTACCCCCTCCATTGTTTTCCCCCT